AAAAAAAAAAAAAAAAAAAAAGACATACATTTAAAAGTATAATCATGGAAAAGAATGTTTACAACAAACCTGCCCTGTTATGAGAAATGCAATTCAACATAGTGCTATTCTTTGTCATATCCAAAAGAGGTACTTCTGGTGCTATGCGGAGACTGGGAATTGACTTCGGTGAATTGCTTTGTTGTTTTACAAGATTAACAGTATCTAGTTTTGTATTTGCAACTGCCTTTGGGACCTCAGTCACTAAAGATGTTTTAGTACAGGTGGCCTGCCAGAACTCCTGTAAATTGTTTTCTACTTTTTTATCTTGAACATCAGGTGTTGTAGTTTCTGATTCTTGATCATCTGAAATAACTTGAGGAAATTCATGCAATAACCGCTCCTGCTCATCAGGACTCTGAAGCTTCTCCCTTCTTCGTAGGTACTCATCCAGTGTACTTCCAATTGATTAAGGAAACTTTGCTTCATATAAAACCTTTCTTACAGTTTTTGACTTAAAAAGTACCACTAAAAAAAGCATATAGAATTTTAATGCACAATGTGCATCACCAAAATTGATTGCTTTCTAATTCAGGAATTACTGCTGTACATAAGAAAAAAAGTGAAAGCCATGTAGAAGGAATTGTAATGTAATCAGTCTGCATGACTTTCAAGAGGACTAGTATCATTAAGGTGGTATTTAGTTATACTATACAGAAGATAAGTCTGCTTGCTGCATTAAAGAGAAGCTCCCCCTCTCCTCTCAAATACCACCTGTACATAAACTCAGGTGGGTTTGGGTTATGAGAGAAATTGAATAAATATCCAAGGTATGTGATGTGGTTTGGAAGAGAAAGATACTTCACCCTAAAATATCCTACAATATGATACTGAAAGAATTGATGCAGGAAATATTAGAAAAAATTAAATAAGCATTATGAAACTGTCAGATGAAACACAAACAAACTGAAGAATCGATTTGATGGCTCAAATCAATTAGGTGACCAACAATTATCAAAAAGATTTTAAGTCCTGAAAAACAATGATAGGAACAGATTTATTTATTTATGAGTTGAATAAGCAAATCAGCATTATTATTGCAAAAATAAATAAATAAAATTAGAAATCAATCCAATCAAGGATTATGAAGTTGGCATGGGTTATATATATATATATATATATATATATATATATAGATAGATAGATAGAGAGAGAGAGAGAGAGAGAGAGAGAGAGAGAGAGAGATTGCCATAAACAGACAATGGTTTTTATTTATGACAAATAGTATAGTTAACAATGTATGAAGTATCTACTAGAGAACAAATTTGGTTGTATAAAAGAGTAGTATAATGTGTTAACCAAGTTCGGGCAGATGTTGCCATCTTATGATGCAAAAATGGAATGGGAGCCATTACCACAATATAGAAAAAAATGTCAATCTAATAAATATCAGATAAGGATATTCTCTACGCCAACCCTTTTCATTAGCTCGTTCAATAAGATTTTGTAGCAGAGTCAGTTCTCTTGCAAGCCACTAAAACAAAATCATCACATAAAAGAAAGCAGGAATTAGGAAATACAGGCAAAAAATAAAGCCCAGATATCAAAAGGGTAAAAATAAATTCTTATGTGAAACAAGCATGTACAGTCCATGCATAGTTTCAATGCACACACAGAACAGGACAAGTATACACACATTTAACATACAAACAAATATCAACTAGTATGAGAAAAATATGAGTTATGACAACTAGCATGTATAAACACTATAAACAGTATCTAAGAAGTGTCAAATAATTTAACTTAAAAAGTGTTATTTATTCTCAAGAGACTGTATAGAGGTGATAGAATGTGACACTGAATGACATTCTATGAATGAAGAGTCTGTGCAGGTAACTGATCAATGAAAAGAGAGTATGCAAAAGAATTTATTATCAATGTTAATCTAATTTGCAATGGAGTACGGTTAGCTATGAGCATTGCAAAGTCTCAAAGAATAGATAACCATAGCTGCTATAGAACTGAATTTTGGCTTTTCCTGGTGCATATACATATTACAACAAAAATCATTAGCATATATACAGACACCAACATGTGGAGTAACATGGTGGAGTGCCTGATAAATGATTCCAGTTGCCTTCTTATAGTATATACAACAACAATCAAGTCTTTTCCCATTAGGTTTAAGTTTACTTCAGCTTATTTTGAAAATCACATATTTATACCAGCTTTCAAAGAGAGCTTTTGAAGAAAAAGCAATTATTTCCAGAAAATAATCTATTACCAAATATAGACTAGTTGACGTTGGCTACAAAATGAAATGGACATTCCGTTGTTCTTTCATTATTCTTAAATGGGGGCTTCATACTCAATTGTGACTTATGATTTTGTTTTGTGAGACTTGTGGGCAAGCTCTTTTGTCAATCTATTAATAAAAATTGTTATATTGAAAACTATATATTATTTATCATTTATGTGATATATTTCAAGCAATTTTTCATTGTGTCATCCCTTAATGCTACAATTTGATGGTATTCATGATTCCAAATTTAGCTTGACAAATTATGAGAAAATCATGAATAAAAACATAAATGAAGGCTATGAAGCAATCCAAACACAAGGTTCAGCTACAGTTCGGTACATACATGCTTAGTCATATCCTCATGCAATACTCTTGCTGTCTGCTCCATATCCACCTACCATGTATAAAAGAAAATGTCATTATTTAGATTCATTAAAGCATCACACAATAGTATCTAGAGTAAAACAGACTTGCATGTATAAAGAATACACCACACGTTATTCCTTTCAATTCACAAGTTATAGAAGTGGCTTGCTCCAGTGCTGCAGGAATTTCACTATTTTAGAATAATTCAAAACGATAAAAAGAGCTTACAATCATAGGTCTTTTGACCAAGCCATCTTTTACTCTTTGGCACAAATCCTTACACTCCTCCTGAAACCAAAGTCCCATAAAATTTAAATGCAGAGTAACACAGATATGGAAAACAAACATTTTTGAACATGGTAAATATCACTGAGAAGATAGTATTAAGTAGCTACACAAAGTTGTGATTCTTGCAAAAGTATGCTATTTATTCATCAGCACTTATTTAAACTATTTTAGCTAGTAAAGCAAATTAAAAGAGAGAGAGAGAGATATGAAGAAAAAAAATTAGCTTATTAATGGAAATCATAGAAAGTACTTTCCAAATTAGAGCATGGAGTTCAGAATTTGTATGGTAGTTACTTTGTGTTTGTTTTGATAAAAGAATTTCCAAACCATTTTGCTCCATGCCCTAGTTCTCAGACATCCAATTTTATGTTTACTCTTTGCATTTTCCTACACAACTTAACACTGTCTTTAGATTATTGTTTGAATATTTTGTCCCTGAGACTATCCATAAATAAACCTTGTTGCAGGTTAGAATGAAGACATGGTTTTGAAGAATAGCAGCAGCTAGAGTTTAGAGCAGGGTACTAGCTTTACTAAAAACTAACATGATTACTTTATATCAATATTTTTCTTCTATTTCCCACCCCATCCTTTATTTATCCCACAGTTTAGTTTTGCACCAATTGGTACTAGACTAGAATAAAACCTTGAAGCAGTATACATTATCTCTTTAGCTTCTCTAAGTTGGCTTCAAAAACTTATATGAAAACTTGAACCACTTTCAAGAAGTTTATTAATGAAAGATGTTTTCTCATTCTACTTTAATTACTATAGTCAGAAAACAACATATACCATTATGATGCATAGAATTGCCCCCTGCCATTTTGCATTGGCATTTATTTGCAATTAACTATATCAGGCATAGTTACAGTCAGACATGCATATATCACATCCATAATTAAACTTCACATTATTCAAAATTATATATAGGATACAACATTATAGTATTGAAGATAATCAGCAGTAAAGAATATCAAACCAACCATCAACTTCCAGTTCAGATGGGCTTATTTAAAACTGTCAATGAAAGTAAATCCAGCATCAATTTGATAGAAATTGATCAAGAACCAAGACAACTTGGCCCTTTTGGCTTAGCAGGAGAGTCAACAATCATTTTTTTTTTGGGTACATGAAAAATTAGGGGGAGGAAAAGTTACTACATTTCAAGTTCATGGCATAGCACAATCCAGTTAAAATGGTACATACAGTTACAAATGACCAACTAGAGACCACCCGCATGAAACGAACCCTAGACCTTTGAGTCAATACACCTTTAAGGCCTCATTTGGATAAATTTCTCAACAAACACGCATAGGAGAAGGAAATTAGGAGGTAAAATGAATCAAAATTTTCCCTCAAGTTTAAAATCAACTTATGCACCCTAGCTTTTGAAGAAATTAGATCAGGGATCTTCTAAATAACTAGTGGGAGATGTTTGATTCATTTTATCTTCTTATTTTTCTTCTCTTATAAATGCTTGTTAAGAAGTTCAATCAAACAGGGCTTAAGTCAATGAAATTTGATCCTACTAGATGAGTTAACCCTTATAAAAACAGTCTACTATTTTTGCTAAATAATGCTAAAAGTAGCTAGATAAATTATCTTCACCTCAGAGAAATTATCATCTGACAGCATTGGAATCCTGATGTCTTTAATGAAACCAGAAGCTTGAAGGTGAATTTCTCCATTTACTTCAGAACTCTTCTTCATACCTGGAAGATAACCCAGAAAAACTGTACTTCAGCTAATTAGAAGAAATAAATATCGTTGTCTATTTTTCTATGTCATATTCAATTGTCAATTGCTTGCCAAAGTCACAAATAAATAATAGATTAATACAAAACACTAAGAGAAATAGTTCCAGGAATGAGTCTGTAGAAAATTAATTGGAAACCCAATGGATAGATTTATTGTTCACCGTTATTCATTGTGAATAGTCTAAAGTATTCGATTAGAATAAACCAGAACTGAGACATGACCTATATTAATGATGTCAAAAAGCAGCACATGATTTAAGTACAATTTTTTCCCAGTTATTTAAATCCCACCCAGCATGAGGTTATTAGATTATATTGTTTTGTTCATTATCACTCATGGTGAATAGTCCACTTATAGGAGAGAGAAATAGGTAGAAAAAATGAAATGAGTTTCTCCATAAGTTACAACTAGCTTGTCCATAAGCTAATTAGATAGCTAATTTGTAGAAGCTCTATCTAATTAGCTTCTCCAAAATCTTATTTTTAACTCTTGCATAAGTTAGTTTTAGCTTATAGAGCAGTTTATTTCAATTTTTCTTCCTATTTTTTTTCTCCTAACAGTGCTCATGGAAAAGCTCATCCAAACAGGCCCTATGACAAACCACACCTGGCCTTGACCTATACTAATAATGCCAAAATAGAGTACATAATAATAAGCACCTTGGGATTTGCTTGATTTATGAGAATCCCAACCAGCATGATGTAATAGGATTACAAAATTTTGTTTATTGATCTCATTGCAAATAGTCCAAAAATTAGGACAAATTTGACCACTTTGCCAGATCATCAAATACATGCAACCTTAACTAATGACTAAAAAAATAAACAGTACATAAGCACATTTCAGTTTGCCTTTTTTTGCATGTAACCTCTGCTTCTTACAAACATAAGGTATTAAACTATTAAACTTAGCAGTTGATGAACATGCCTATTCAAAGACTTGAACATGTAGAAGTGAAAAAAAAAAAATACATTAACTAGAATGCAATGCTATATAATCAACAGGGCAAAACTTAGGTACATTAGAATTGGAGTTTCACCTCGGTAATATGCATTTACATTTAATGAAAACCTTGATAATATACATTTTTATGTATATTATCAAGGTGAAACTGCAATTTGGAGAACAACACCAACAATACCTATGGTACGGTAGCTAAGTTTTTTTCCTAATCAACCATGATCAGCCAAATTACCTTTGACTTGCAAAAGCTGGTGTGAGTTTTTCTGAAGGTAATCATTTGGGTCACATCTAATTCTTATGAAGCTTCCAACTACTTTACTCTCAAAAGTTTGAGGGTCCTTTAAAAGGTCCTCAACAAGACTCCTCCTCAAATAAACAAGCTTAATGTTGGCCGGAACAACAGCAGCAAAACAGCTCCTCGGTTTCTCAAAAACCGGTTTCCTTGGTTGACTCCTCCACTCCGAAGGCGCCGTCCTAGGGGTGGTTTCACACGTTGCCAGCGCAATCTCATCCTCGTCCGAATCAAACAAAATATCATCAGAGGATCCCTCACAGTTCTCCGCAAAGTGCGACTCGAGCAAGTCATTGATTTTCAAGCGGCTAATGCTCTTCCTCCCGAACAGCGAATGGAGCCTCTCGTCACACTCAATCCTCTTCTTCTTGGTTTTATGAAAGAGCCCATTCTGCTTTACATACTCAAGTATAATATTCGCAACCTCGCTCTGAGCTATCTGGTTTGTGGTATCTCTACCAATGGATTCAAGAAACCAAATAAGGGAAGTCGACCCCCATCCTTGATATTCCTTTTTCTTTGTCCTGTATTTCCTTTTCCTTCTCACAGGGGTCTGAACCTTCCCATCAATTTCCTCTATCCAGAAAGAACCGCCATTAGGTTCATCATTCATCCTTCCTATCATAAATAACCCTAAATTCAACCTTCTCCACTAAATGCTATCAGCCTTCTTCTTCCACCTTTCAAATTTCCCTATTCTGATGCTCTCTCTGCCACCAATCTCCAACCAAAAGAACAAATTAATTAATTAATCAAATAATTAAATTGACAGCAGACAACAATAAAAGGAAAGAAAAAAAAATTAGACATGCATTTTCTATTGCTCTGTTGAAACCTAAAACAAAGAAGAGCTGCAAGAACCAGAAAGACAACAAGAAGAAATGAATTACGAAAGGAAACGCACATTGAGAGATGAAGAAGCGACAAAATCGTCGTCACAGAGGACGCTAACAAGAACGAAGAAACATGCAATTTGGGGGCGGAATGAAAAAAAAAATGATGGAAAAATTGAAAGAGAAAAAAGAGAGAGAAAGAGAGAGTAGATACAGAGTGTTGGAGTTGCGTTGACTGAGGGTGTTGAGAAAGAACCTGAGAAGGTTCTAGAAGGAGCAGCGAGTGGTTGGTGATTGGCGCTGAACACAGTTCTGAGAAGAGTGAGTGAGTGAGTGTCTGGGCAGAGTGTAGAAGCAGTGTTGTTGGCTTTGTAGTTTGTTCAGTGAAACAACACAAACGGTGAAGTGTTGAATTGAATAGGAAGGAATCTACGAAGGAAGGAAAATGGAATGCCCCATAAGCCACACATAAAAATTAAAATAATATATATATTCTCACTTCACCCATTTTTTTCTTTTCGGCGTAGCAATGGGACAGGATTAACTCTCGCCGTTACTATTTCCGTTAAGGATGGAGTGTGTGTGTGTTTGGTGTGAACCTATGAGAAATGAAAATTAAATTAAACTCTATTTTTATTGAATTTTATCTATTTCTGAAGAAAAAAAACTATTCTACATTTTTTATTTTATGTATTTTTAAATAAATTATTAATTATGCTTAAATAATACATGAAAATAATAAATGATACAAAATTTAAAATAATAAGATAGTGTATTATGAGACATTTTTTTAAGGCATGACAATGAAATAAAGGGGTGAGATAGTGATGGCTTTAACTATCATTTTCACTAATTTTGTTAAAGGTGGGATGTGTTTGGTGTGGATTTATGAGGGGTAAAAATAAAATAAAAAATAATTTAACTTTATTTTTGTTAAATTTTATCAAATTTTAAATTTTGGAAAGAAAACATTCTTAATTTTTTTATTTATTTTAAACTAACAAATTTAAGAATTAAATAATGTTTAATTAAATACATAAATTTAATTTGTAGTTTAAATATAAAATAATATATTCTGAGACAGTTTTTTAGACATGACAATGAAACGGGATGGTGATGACTTTAATATTTGTCGTTACTATTCATGTTAGGTATGGTGTGTTTGGTGAAAATTTATAAGGGAAGAAAAAGAAATCAACTTTATTTTTTTTGGATTTTATCAAGTTTAGAAAAATTTGTGAAGTTTTCACATTTTTTTTTGTTTTTATGTATTTTTAAAAAAATTACTAATTATGTTTTGATTCGAACAATATGAAAAATTAATAAATAATAAATATAAGAATCCAATAATTTTAATTAAACATATAAACTTAATTTTATGATTAATTATTATTGTAATTCAAGTTAAGTTATACTTTTTCATAATTATAAAATGAAATATACAAAAATATCTTTATATATATATATATATATATAGTATTTTTTTTTTACAAGGGGGGAGTACCTCCTTAAACTTGAAGTAACATAAACACACAACATGGAAATTGAAATGTGTGTGAAGTTTGAAAGCTTTTTCTGCAAATAACATATTTTAGCTCGTAATCGAGTTTTTGTCCAATGAAAGTGTAGGAAGAAGGAAAGGGAAGGGAGCACTTCAATTTTATATTAGTTCATCCAACTTGAGTTAGTTCAGTTACCTTTGAACTTGAAGGGTCTCACTAATTTGAAAACTTTTACAACACAAGTATTCTTACTGTCATTTCTAGCTTACAAATGCAATTAACTATTGTTGTATTCTTTCACTATCCTCTTTAAGCTTATCAGATATGTAAAGTGTGTTTACGAGAACTCTTACTAAGAGGGATATGTAAGTTTAGTATACTAAAAAGTTGACTTGCTAAGGCAAAGATGTTATACACTTAAGCTTTTCTCTAGATCATCTACTGGACAAAGGATACAAAACTTAGAAAATTATTATCAGAGTTTGGGAACAACAAGCAAAAGGCGTGTATTCACAATATTCACAAAGTTCTACTTTTTTCTTTAAATCTTCTTATATTTATCGACTTCATGGAAGTATCCGTTAAGGTGATAGCCTTATAAAATGGTTGCTTAACTTATAATTAATGTTCCATTGAATATGCTCATTGTCTTCATGATTTAGAGATTCATTAATTTACACATTGTATGTATGATTCATGTAATAACTTAGACAAATTGTCAATTTTATCAAGGTCATGACTTTGTTATCATAAAATTTAGAGTATTAAAAACATATTTCACCTTTGGTACAATAAAACTCGTCTCCACCTTGCTACCACGACTTTTACAAGTTAGGAAGCTCAAACCTAACCTTGGTTTACTTATCAAGGTTAGATTAATTATAGAAAGTTACTGCTAACTAAACATTCATTTTAGTCTAAATTGTACAAAATTTGTAATTTGATTTCACTATTAAATATTCATATATTGATTAATGTTGATTATATTTAACATAGGGTATATGTTATTAATATTAGATAATACTTAGATTAAATTGTAGTGTTATTTCTCATTTGGATTTCATAAAAGTAATATAAAGAGATAAAAATGAAGACTAAAAGTGCAATTTATTAAATATTAATTATTATAACATATTTTTAATATCTCACATGTTTAATCTTATAATTTTAATGGTTAATTGATGAACATTTAACGGTAGATCAAAATTGCATAATTAAAAACTAATAAAATAATGGATTGAATATTGTAGAGGGACCAAAATATAATTTATCATTCAAATCATATAATAATAAAAGCTCCAAATATTTATAAAATAAAAATAAGAAATTGTGCAATTTAATTTAAATATTAATTTTTATCATATATTTAATGTCATATGCATTCAATGTTACCGTCAATCGATGAACTTTTAATAAAAGGATCAAGATTATATATTTTATAAAATTTTGAGACTAGAATTGAAGAATTAAAAAGTAAAAATTAAAACTATAGGTTAAATATTATAGAGGAGTTAAAAAAATAATTTAACCTAAAAATCATATAATATATAATAAAAGTAAAAAAAACATTTATGAAATAAAAGTAAGGAAGTGTGTAATTTATTCTAAATACTAATTGTTATATCATATATATTTAATGTCTTAAAGTTTTAATTTGAGACTTAAATTACAGAATTAAAAATATTAAAATCATGAATTGAATATTATAAAAATATAAAATGTAATTTAATTTAAAAATTATATTATAATAATAATAAATAAAAAAAGGTCCAAAATATAGATACAATCTTCAAGACTTTCTTATGCTGTAATTCAATCAAAATTAAAGCGCGATCTTAATAATTATAATGTCAATTTTAATATAACATTTATTACATATATTTTCGAGGTGACCTCAAATTTAATCACACATATTTAAGAATTTGCACATTACAACAAAAATTTCAATAACTTCCATTAAGTTATATATAAATTCAAACTCAATTATCGTAATTGTATATACTAGGTTCTTGACTGTGTGATATATAAGGTAAACAAAATATATATGTATAAAGATTAATTTATTTTTTAATAATATGTATAATTAGTTTTAACTTTTTACATAAATAACAAGTTTATGTTAAAGTTTTTTAATATATTGTTATAACTTCATAAATTATGTAACCCTTGACATGCATCTAACATATTATATTTGTTAATTATTTTTAATAATATATAAACATAAATTAACAAAGTAAATTATTTTAATAAAAAACCATTTGTTTTATTTATATTACAACTTCCAACACAAATTCATTTTAATAAGTAATACTTGAAGTTTAAGGTTAAAAGTTATAATTAAAAAAACGCAACACTATCTATTTTTTTTAACATAATAGACTTTTTTCACATAAAAATTAATTTATTAGAACATTCATTCTGATAGAAGTAGAAGAAAAATACACCATTAAAAAAAACTCTTAAAAAAATGAATTGAAATTTAATTCAACCTTATAAAATTGATTTGAAACATGAGTTGTCTCTCATTTATATACTCTTTGTTGTCCTTATTACTAGTTAATGTGAGATGCTAGCCATATCACTATGCTTATAATAGTGTATATAAGTGAAAAAAATCCACATCGTTAAGGTTGATTATGTATGATTAAGTTAAACTTTAAATTCATTTTCTAAAGATAGTATCATAGTTTATATCCCAGTGACTATTAATTATTATTAGGTTTATTGTGCCACTTATCATCATATCGTTATCGAACACTCACAAATGTTTAGTTTTACAAACTTTACATTCAAGATGTTCAATTCTCGACACGAGAGGGGTGTATTGAAAAACTCTCATTGACTAATAATAAGGGCATAATAGTGCATAGAAGTAAAAAATCAATCCTCACTTTTTCAAGTCAATTTTGTAAGATTGAGTTAAACTCAAATTCACTTTCTTAATAACAACTAAGAAGATGAGATGAAACAGTTATAACTAAAACTTAACTTTTTTTGTTCAATTATAAAAATTGATAAATACCTAAAACAAATATTGACCTCTCAATAAACTACATTTGGAGTTGTAGTTGTAACATGACCCTTGTTATTTCATATGATAATATTTAATCCAAAATAAGATGTAACCTTTGATATTGCAACATACAATTGACCAAGTGAAAATACTAATTATGGAAGATAAATGCATGTTTGAGAGGTTGTTCTTGACTTTTGTTTATAGTCATTACAACAGAAAATATTGTGACACCATCTACCCCATACTAGAAAATCATATAAATTAAAAGAAATAACAATATATGAATCTAAAAATAGACTTTTTCTAAAAGCAAATTGCTCAAAAGATACCCTCGGATAGAGGTATCACATATGGAAACATAATTAAAATCAATAAAAAAAAATAAAACATATGTCTAACCAAGAAATTACAATGAAAATATGAACGTGAATTTTTTATTACAAACAAATACAGTGAAAATACGTATTAACTATTCCCACCTATACATCATAAAACATAATTAGAGCATTACAAAAATTCTATCTTACCTAGACACAAGTACAAGTACAAATAATCATTAGGCATCGTATCTTCCTAACAATCTTCATATATATAATCCTTTTGATATTTGTACTGTTGAATCAACTCGATCATTATGCTTGACCATAATCTTTACGTATATCCATCAAGTACATGCACAAAACAGAAACAAAGGAGTGAGGATGTAATAATCTTAACTTATATTTATATACTAAAGGTAAGGACACTTACCTAAGAAACACAATAATTTATGGGGAAAACTAGAATTAGTTCTAGTTATACTTATTGGATATTGACTATGTTAAATACAAAGATAAGAGCACTTATCATCAGAGGTACAAGACTCTAGGTGGAAACTAGAATTTGTTCTAGTTGTACTTACTTGACATTGATATAGTATGGATCCAC